AAAGTCAGGTCCACAGTACAGAGTATTACCAGAATTCCCAACAACAACAACAAAATAAGACCGGGAAAGACATATTTATATCTAGCAAAATAGACTTAAAACTCAAGAGACAAGAATGGCTATTATATAATAAAAGGATCAGTACAGAAAGAGGACTAATGTATGTGAACCATAGAAAGGGGACTCAAAATGTAAAATCTAGCACCAATAATGTGAGGTATTGATGGCAATGGAATAGCAGCACAAGACTTTAGAGTTGCAATTCGCCACCACACCAACAAGGCAAAAATAAATAATGAATAACTGATTCACTGATTCATGGTCCTTCCGTTGTTCATCGATTTGCTCGGGCAGGCCCAGTAACGTCTCCATCATGACACTTGTGACTGTCTTTGGCATATCAAGTACGTCACGGGTAGCTTGCCAGGGTCTGCCGTGCAGGCCAGATACTCTCGGTAGCTTGCCGGGCTCTCCGAGAGGGGCAGATGAATCGAACTAGAAATAATAAATAAATAAGTAAATAAATAAATAACAATAAAAGCAAAAAAAAAAATTCAAATGAGGAATTGACAGAGTTAGGAATAATAAACATTTACAGGACTCTCCACGACCATAAAGCACGTACACATTTGTATTTAGTACACATGAAACATTCTTGAGAACATGCTGGGACACAGAAGTCAAGAGTCACAAAGACTTAATCATATAAACTCTCTTTCCTGAACAGTAGTAATGTGGGCTACTAAAAAGAAGGTTAATGGGTATTTGATCATGGTATAATTGAAACCCAAGCACAAAAATGTGTAAGTCTGCAACTGTACCTCATGATGTCTCACTATTAAAAATTAAAAAATAAATAAATAAATAAATAAAAGGTTAACCTGACATTCTGCTTGCTGTTCCACCATCCCAAGTGAGAGTTCTTTTGGCTAATAGCACGAGGCATATACTAATGGGGAGACAGAGCTCCAGTAGGAGGCAGTGCCCCTCCCAGCTGAGACTCAGCCGCCTCAATGCCTGCCCTGCACCAGAAGGGTCCTTTCTGACTTTCTGTTTGTTGCCCGACATCCAAGGCTGAGAAGGAAGAGTGAAAGCTCTAGCTTAATTCTTCAACACCTTTCGGGGAGGAGGTGGTGGCTAACTACAAAGACTCACTCCCATAACAGTAAGAACACTAGAAAATCTTTGGAGCAAACACACAGAAACCAATAAATCTCAATGAATAAAAAAATATTAATAAACACATAAACACCACTCAATCTTCAAACAGTGTCTTTAAAGATACTCTGATAAGGATATTAAATGAGTTCAAAGAAACAGTAACACATGTGTGCAGCAAAGCAAAAAAAAAAAATCTGAGAGCTGAAAGAAAAAAACTGTTACAAACAGAAAAGAAAAAAGTAAAGAACACAGTAGGTGGTTGTATAATGTCTGGGCTGCTAGTGAAGCCCCATGGCTCTCTCCCTCGCCGTCCAAATTTGGATGGTCTCAGGCTGTTTCCTTAGCCGGAGTGGCCCGTGCCATAGGTGGACAAAGGAGGAAACGAGGGCCAAGCTCGTTTATTGATCAGATGCCGTTTACTCCATTCTCCCCACACGCCTGTTCCAGTCTCTCTGAGCACCGTATTCTAGTCTCACGCTGTTCCTCATTCCCATCTCCTCCGGTTTCTCCTGCTTATCTCTCCGTGCTTCATCTCACAGCCTGGGCTCTTTCTCTCTCCATTTGCCTGCTCCCGTATTCTTCTACCTTCTTCTCCCTCTGTCCCCCTTGCTAGTCTCTCTGTGCTCCATCTTGCTGCCCTCCTCTCTCTCTCTCATCTCCCTCCAACTCTCATGTTTCTCTCCAACTCCCTCTTCTCTCTCCAACTCCAAAGCATTAGGGGTAGATGCCACGCCCAGTCATGTAGCAAAATTAACATAAGAAAACCCTTCTTGCTGCCCATCAGGCTCAAGGGCAGAAACACCACCTAGGGGCCATTCCTCTTCTCTTTAGTCCAATAACTTAGTTGACATCTTGATTAACATCTTAATTCTACTTCTTAATATTATTTTGTATGGACACAGTAAGAGATACATTGAGCTTGTAGGATGACTCTCCCAGGAACATCTCCCCATGGATTCAAACTACAGTGCTCAGGCTGGATTAATCATTCCTAACCCTAGCAGGGTCTGAATCTAGTTATTGCTTTTTGGATCACGACAGCATTTGACCATGACCAAACTCTTAACTTGTAGTTAAGAGTTATGGCACTTTGGCAAGGCCCATTTTGATGCCATAGCTCACGGCTTGCCCTGAGTCCATACAGTCCCTCATCAGGACTCTACTTTGGGGGTGCTAGAAAGTAGGAACAAGTGAAGATTAGGTTGAGAGAACAGATGTCCAGGAGGTAAATATCATTCAGAGTCAATTAACTCCCAAGTTACAAAAGTATAGCATTAACTGTCTCCTTGTGTCCATACAAAAAGGACATTTCTCTGAATTAACTATGCAAAGGAGAAGAGAAAAACAATATTTAAAAGTCAATAGAGCATAAAGAAAGAAGTTAGAAGCAAATACAGAGGAATGGGAGCACTATGATGGGAATCACCCAATAAAACTAAGCTCCCTGTGGCGAGGCAGAAAGGACAAACCAATGTTATCCTACAGGTGGTAATTTAAAGAAAGTAAATAGAAGCTCTGAATGGCAGAATAATTGAAGTTGAGCAAAAAAGAACTTGCTAGGAAACGGCAGGAAGTGGAAAATATGCTGAAAAGAAGTGAATGACAACCCCCAGAACTATGGGATGAGTTCAAAAGAAACAATTTTAAGAATCAGTGGAGTCCCTAAAGAACAGAAACATAAATGTGAGGAAACAATAAAGAGATCATTGATAAGAACTTCGCAGAGTTGAGATTACTGACACTGAGATACAAGAGGGCTAAAGCAATGTAGTGAAAAGAGACCCATTTAGAAAAATGCCACACGCATTATATTCAAAATGACAAAATCCAAAGATAGAGACTGACAAAATGTTGAAAATACCGAGATCAAAAAAGTAACTTACATATCAGGGAGAGCCCATAAAATGTATAATGTCCGGTCCGTTCCTCCCATTGTTCATCAATTTGCTCAAGCGGGCCCAGTAACGTCTCCATTGTGACAATTGTTACTGTGTTTGGCATATCGAATACGTCACGGAAAGCTTGCCAGGCATATAATAGATCTATCAAATGATACTCTATAAGCCAGAAGAACTGGAAGGATACAGTACAAAAACTCAATGAAATGAACACCTCAGCAAGAGTACTCTCTCCAGATAAATTATCATTCAGATTTGAAGAAACTGCACAGAGCCTCATGAACAGTCAACAGCTCAGGGAATTCAGTCTTTAAACTAGTTTTGCAAGAGCTCTATTAGAGGAGAAAGTTCTAATCATGTGGCATTGAGTATGGCACCAAATAATGGTGTATGTGGTTGTCCTCTACCTGATTGAGAGAAGTTAAAAACATAGGAATTCACCATCATAAATTGTCTTTTATTTATTTATTTATTTATTTATTTTCTAATAATTATATTTGTCACTCTTTTAAGCTTTTTTAGATCAAATGTATGAAATAATTTTATTTTATGCCTACCAAGGGGGTAAAAAAGTCTTCATTTATGACAGGAAATACATAATGATTACCATAGTAAGATCCAGGTACAAAATTAAATTTAATGCAACATATTTTAGATGCCAGCATTGAAAATTTAGTTTTGTAAATTAGAACAGTTGCATATTACATTTTATTAAATGATTGAAATTACTTTATTTACATAAATTTAAATTATAGAGCAATAAATTGCTACAAATTGACTTTTGTTGATATATTTTCTGATAATTATCTTTGCCATTTCTTTAAGTTTGGTTGAAGCCAGCAGTATAAAAAAAATTAATATATGCCTGCCAAGAGGGCTGGTTCAGGGGTGGCAGGAAATCTGAGGACACTGGTGAAAGAAAGGGGGCATTGCTGGTGGGATTAGTGTTGGAGCATTGTATTCCTGAAACAATACTATGAACAACTTTGTAAATCACTGGGTCTCAATTAAAAAAGGGGGGGGTGGAGAAAATTAAAAAATACTTTCAAGACTAAAAATTTCAAACATTTAAAATTTACATATGATGCCATTGAAAAACTACTGGGTTAATAAGGAAATCAATGTGAAAAATTTAAAAATAAATAAGAATGAAAATGTAGCCTATCCGATTAGATGGGATAGATGAAAAGCAGTACAAAGCAGTAGATTGATTTCAATATAGGATTTATGAAGAAAGAATAAAAACCCCCTCCTAAAAATCCAAACTAATATCCAAAGCAAGTAGACAAAAAACAAAGAGTAAAATCGAGTCAATAGAAGGATGATTTTTTTAAAAATTAGAAAAGGAAAGCAAAGTAAATATAAATAAAACAAGATTTGATTCTTTGAAATAAAGAAAACTAACAAACCATAGTTATACTTAATTGGGGAAAGAGCTAATAAATAAGATCAAAAATAAAAGGGAGAAATTACAACAGGTACCACAAAAAATTGACAAAGTAATTTAAAAAGATCCCCCCAACTCTTTTAAATCTATCTATAAACAATATCCAATATTCGAATGGAAAAAGGTGATGTCAATTTATGCAAAACATTGAAAAATGATAAATTGAAATGAAGGATGTTAAGTTTACAACTAATCTTGACAAATGCAATCCTTTTGTTAAATCAGTCATTAAATTAAAACCAACGTGAAAATAAAACTTATTTCTACTACATAAATTGAAAAGCTATTTTCAAATCTCATCTATATTTAGTTAGTAATAATTTATACAAGTAAATAAGAATCGTAAACTGAATATTAGAGAACACCAAATAAAGTACCTCTTCTTATTTTTTCCTTGTACACCCAGTACTGTTAGGCTCTTTATGATGTCACCTGTCAACATCACTAATTTAAACTTACAGTGCTTAAGTCCTGGCAAATCATACGTGGGGGAAATGTCTGTACCAAGATTGTAAGTTGTCTTGTCAAATTTTATGTTTTAAAATAGCTGAAATGGTCTATTTAAGCGTATATTTATTTTCTTTACTGTAAAGAGATGTGTGCTATGTTATTTTTATGCCATTGGTAGGCAAGAGGTAGTATGTCTAACAGATACATCTCTCTTCAAGCAACATCATAGGTTGTTTTGATCAAGACTTAAGTAGCTCATTCACTTCAGTAAAATATATACATAACTTTATACATCACTTTATATATTCTGATGTGAATCTTCATTTTAAATTGTACTGTATTTTGGAACATATAAATAAAATAAAGTAATTCATAGCTCTTATTTAGGGAGCTACAACTTCCATTTGGGCCATTTGGAAGTTTAGGGGAACATTTGTAGGTATGCATGTGGGTGTATTTGTACGTAATATGAAGTATATTGCGTGACGAGTCGATAGTGAATTTAATTAAGTCTGGATCAAAAGTACTAAGCCTTTGGTAAAAACTGTGATAACTCAAATTCAATATTAGGACCTTAACTTTGCAGTTCTGTGCCATGACTACCAAGCTGCAACTGATAAAGAAAACTATCCTCTTTGGATTGTTTTCCCTGTCCTCACATCTCTTTAATAAGATGATTCATCTAAACTTCAGCCATTCCAGTCAAGAGTGTCTCTCATGTCTTGTTCCCTCCAATTCAGGTCACATCAGTCAACCAACTTGTTTAATCCAGAATTAAATAGATCTCAGACTTCTAAGAAAAGAAGAAAAGATTTTCACAAAGACTTCAAACTGAAAAGGGTGCCTAAAACTAAGAGTTAAAAAAAAAACCTTTAATTGCAAGTCTCTAAATCTCATATCTACTTATAACTCATCTTTCTTGAGTTCCATGTCTAATAATGACTCTTAATTATCTTAGGCTAAGGATTCACCTTGATGTACAACATTAATCATTTTGTCACATACCATTTTCATTTCCATAATTTTGTTTAGTTTGGAGCCACACCTGATGATGCTCAGGATTTACTCCTGGCTTTGTGCTCAGGGATAACTCTTTGCAGAGATTAGGGAACAATGTATAGTCCCAGGACTTGAACCTAGGTTGGCTGACAGAAAGGCAAGCATTCTACCTGCTGCCTCTCTCTCCAGTACCAAATGTTTTCTTAGAGTTGAAGAAAGGGAGTCCTACACACTGTAAGATGCTTAGCAGTTGAATTCTAAGTCCTAATGTCAACCCAAACTAGATGCTATATACAAGACCAAAACAATTGTTGGTCAAAAATATTCAAGAATTGCAAAATGTTCCTTTGGAGAAATTATGCCAAATAAATCAATATCATGACACAAAATGTTAGAAAAGGTGAGGATAAAAAGACTAGGGGGAAAAATGTTATGAAAAAAATTTAGGGAAAAAAAGACTAGGAAAAAGAAATCTCACCACAATTCAGAGAACAATCCCTCAACAGGACAAAACCCACAACAAACGTTAAGCAGTTAAAGATTATCTTTACATGAACAACCACCTAGTAAATACCAAAATAACTCAGGCATCAGTCACTAGAAAAGTTTCTGCTGGGGCCTGGGTAGTACAGAGGGTAGCGGGTTTGCCTTGCACGTGGCCAACCTGGGTTTGATTCCCAGAATCCCATATGGTCCCCCAAGCACTGCCAAGAGTAAATCCTAAAGGCAGGGCCAGGAGTAACTCTTAAGCGTTGCTGGATGTGATTCCTACCCCTGCTAACCAAACAAGAAGCAAAAAATAAAACTTTCTGCCAAGTTCCATGTCACTTTTTGCCAAATATCTGATATGGAATCCAAACATCCAAACCCTGCTGGCAGAATATCTGAAGATACTCACACATACCTATCATCTGTGAGCATTTCTCCTTAAACTTGAGGATACAGCACATTATTATATAGATTTTGTCTTTTAAATTTATTGTACATTTTATAAGACATATAAACAGAAATATTTTCAAACTAAAGGCAATTATTTTATATTTAGTATGAAATCTGTCAAACTTAAAAAACATTGATAAGTATTTGCTTGTCATTTATTTATTTTTAGTGTTTGTTTCCTAAAAAAAATCCCATTGGAAATACAAAAATAATTTTATTTTAAAAATAATTATTTTTACTTAAAAATAAAGTCCCTCATTATTCTACTCTGGAATCTCATTATTTTTTTATTTAGGAAAATTTTAAATTACCTTACCCTTTCAGTCATGAACATATTATATATCAGCACTACCAATGGGAATCTCCCTTCCTCAAATCTCTCATTCTGAGAATGGTTTTGAAATGAATAAATTGTGTATATAAAGCAAAGTCAGACTTGTGAATTCTGTATTACATTTGATGTCTATTAAGATAAAGTTATTGGGTTTCCTTATTTTTAATTCAATAACAAAGAAATTTTGTGTCTTATATGTTTATAGTATGCAGTTGAACTAGACTATCATCAAAGTCTTGAGAAACTTATATTACAAGAATGAGAATAAATTTTTATTCATATATAGTAATTTAGAAATAAAAAGTAAAGTTATAGTAATAGTCTTTTTTTAAGTTACTTCAAAGATTGAATCTAAATGCATTCTGGTCTAGGAAATATATTAACTGTGCCAGAGAGAGAAGTGGGGAGAAGCTTTAACCAAAAAAATTATATTTAAAGAAACTTAACTTCTAATACACATTGTGTGTAACTACAAATATCTAGGTTGCTACTCAGGCTTGTTATTGCCCTAGTTTTAAAGTAGATATTTAAATACTGATTTAAAATTTTTTTCTAATAAAAGCCAAAATGTTATAAATTCTCCTTTAGAAGTTTTTACAATATGGGCTGGAACGATAGCACAGCAGTAGGGCTTTTGCTTTGCAACATGGCCAACCTGGGTTCGATTCCTATACCCCTCTCAGAGAGCCTGGCAAAGTACTGAGAGTATCTCGCCTGCACAGTCTGGCAAGCTACCCATGACGTACTGGATATGCCAAACACAGTAACAAGTCTCATGGAGACATTACTGGGCCTGCTCGAGCAAATCAATGAACAAGGGGAGGACAGTGCTACAGTGCTACAGTTGCATATATGTGTATATTATATATATAACATATATATGTTTGTTATTTATTATTTAGATTAAAAAACCTTATACTTCAATATTTGTGACTGTCCTATCATTTTGTTATTGATTTAGTTGCTCAGGAAACAGTGAATCTATCTGGTAATTATACAGGAAATAGATAGACAATGCCTATGTAAAATATTTTAATCTCAAATTTAGTAATAGTCCATCATGAACCTAAAAGAGTTATTCTTTCAGATCAGTCAGAGAAGTTTATAATTATTACTGGGAATTAAAATCTTTTCAGTATTATACTAAGGTATACTAAGAAAATAATCTTTATGCATGCCCCTATTCAAAACAGCAGTAGGTCAGATAAATATTAATCAACACATCTTTTTTTATATTCACTGGATTAACTCAATTTTTTTTTTGCTTTTTTTTTGAGGTCACACCCAGTGATGTACAGGGGTTACACCTGGCTCATGCTCTCAGTAATTACTCCTGGCGGTGCTCGGGAGACCACATGTGATGCTGGGAATCGAACCTGAGTCAGCTGAGTGCAAGGCAAATGCCCTACCCACTGTGCTATCATTCCAGCCCTGAAATGTTTATATAATGTCAAGATTGTAAGGTTTTGTGCTGGAAACTAGTGTTTTTATGAAATTTTCAAGGTACTTTTTAAAGGCACTTTATAAGTGAAACACAAAGTACGTGTTTTCATGAATGTGTATATGTATATAAATCTCTATGACTAGCAATGGCTCTACTCTGTAATGTAATGGAAATAGTTAATAATATTTCTCAAATAGATCGTAGCATTCACATCCATTACAATAGTCAAATGTGAGGCCAGAGCAATAGTACAGTGGGTAGGGCAATTGTTTTGCATGTGGTCAACCTGAGTTCAATCCCTGGCATCCCATATGGTTCCCCAAGCACCACTAGGTGTGATTCCTGATTGCAGAGACAGGACTAACCCCTGAGCATTGCCAGGTATGATGCCAAAAGCCAATTTCTTTTTTAAAGTCAAATGTTAGGATATAAAAATTCTTTGGGGAAACAAATTTTTCCATATATTACTAAAATGTGAAAAGTTACATATATGATATACTTTATAACAGTTTTATTTATGTTATTTCTGTATAGGACTAAACAACAAAATCTGTATCAATACTGATGTGCACCTATAGACACCCATATAAGTTATTGAAAACGTTTCATTTGATTAGGTGAGAATTTTATACAGCATAAAATATTTCAATTGACAATAGTTAATTACAAAAATTTGGAGAATAAGACATGGAAAAAGACTTCAACATGGTTTCACCAAAAATACATATGCAAGATTGCAAGTTGATAAAGTTTGATAAATATTTTAAATATTTCAACGATTTTTCTTCATTCCATTAAAGTTTGTTCCAAATATATACATTTGCTTATCTCCATGTTTCAAAAATGAATATACAATCTTATATAACAATAGAGATTTGAGTCTTCCGGATATGTCTCTAATTCATGGTATCATGTGCTTAAGCATAATAAAGCATGACAATATAGTGATTTCTTGTATCTTAATTAAAACTTTACCTTTCCTTTTTAATAGCCAAAAATCAAACTTTGGGACATACGATAATTACATTCCAGGTAAGAATCAAATTTAAGATTTATTTTTTTAATATGTATGATTAATTTTAATATAAAATATTATCTTCCATTAAAAGTTATAAAACATTAGCTGTCGTAAAATATCATTAAGCGCCAACTATTTTTTTGTTTGTGTTTGGGCTTCACTCAGCTGTGGTCTGGGCTGTCTCCTGGCTCTCTGACTGAAGGACTACAAGTGATGCCCAGTTGACCTAGCACGAGACTTACCCTGTACACTGTGCCTCTGACCCCAAAAGTCAACTTTATGTTTGATTTTTCCAGTTCGACTTTCTTATTGGCTCAGCAAATGTTTAAGATATTTTGTTTCTAAATTCAACAAAAACTGAGCAAATTTGTTTAGCAGTAACATTAGGTAGACATACTGCATGCTAGAAATATTAAATAAAATAATCTTAGAATAGAAAATCAATTTAGAAACTGTTAAGGATATCTTTTACTGCATACTTGATAGATTTCTTCAAGTAGATTAAGCATAAATCTGACAATGTTATATATTTTAATAAATGCAATGTAATACATAATTTAATTTGTCTATTTAATATATTTTTTCTCACTGATCCTGACTCTGTAGTTATAAAACTGACAAAAAAAAGTCTATTGTCTTTCCCACATACTATTATCACACAAATTTAGCAATGCTATGACTAGCTTCATAATTATCCTAAATGTCTTAAATCTTTTCTACTATAGTTTCTGACTAACTTTACCTTCCCAGTCATTATTGCATTGTTAAAATTTGTCAATATTTTTTGCAATATGCTATCTGTAGCAATGTACTTCTTATATACATAACATTCATTTGCGGTGGGAAGGGTTAGGCCATACTCAGGAATTTGAAAGCTTAGTCTTGGCTCTGGCTCAGAGGTCAATCCTGGCAGGACATTAGGTATATGTGTGGTGCCTGGGATGGAATTTGCAAAGCAAGTTCCTTTGGTGCTTTTCTATCTCTCTGAACTCAGCATCTATCTTCTAGTTTGAAATTACTACAAACTAAAAGAATCTTAAGCATCAGCACTTGGATTCAAATACATTAGATTCAACATACATTAGATTCAATCATACATCTCATATATATTTTATATCCTGGAGCGATAGCACAGCGGGTAGGGCGTTCGCCTTACAAGCGGCCAACATGGCCGACCCGAGTTCGATTCCTCCGCCCCTCTCGGAGAGCCCGGCAAGCTACCGAGAGTATTCGATATGCCAAACACAGTAACAACAAAGTCTCCAATGGAGACGTTACTGGGCCCGCTCGAGCAAATCGACGATCAACGGGAGGGCCTTTACCTTTATATTTTATATCAGAGCTCATTAAGTACTTTGGAGACTACCAAAGTAATATTTTCTAGATAGCACAGCAGGTAGGGCATTTGCCTTACACGCGGCCAACATGGCCGACCCGAGTTCGATTCCTCCGCCCCTCTTGGAGAGCCCAGCAAGCTACCAAGAGTATTCGATATGCCAGACACAGTAACAACAAAGTCTCCAATGGAGACGTTACTGGGCCCGCTCGAGCAAATCGACGATCAACGGGAGGGCCTTTACCTTTACCTTTATCAGTTAATTATATTTATGCCAAACATGTCTAAAACAAAAATTTAAACTGGGTGGACTACAAAGAGCAAAAGGAAACAGTAAATATTTTTCTTCCACTTATGTTGCAGACTGTAATTTCACATAACTATCTACCTATAAACTGGTTAAAGTAGAAAAATTAAATTTTATTTTCTCATATTATTAGAAAATAATTTCAAATATTTTAAATTTCAAATATTTAAATATAAAATATTTTAGTTATGAAAAATTTTATGTGATGTAGCACTGTAGCACTGTCCTTCCATTGTTCATTGATTTGCTCGAACAGGCACCAGTAACATCTCACAACAAATTGTGAGACTTGTTGTTACTGTTTTTGGCATATTGAGTACATCATGGGTAGCTTGCCAGGCTTTGCCATGTGGGCGAGATACTCTCGGTAGCTTCCAGGGCTCTCTGAGAGGAGTGGAGGAATTGAAGGCGGAAGAATCAAACTCAGGTTGGCAAGGTTGGCACTGTGCAAGGCAAATGCCCTGCCTGCTGTGCTGCAATGTATTTAATTTTATAATATAATGTATTTTATTTAATGTAATGTAATGTAACGTAATGCAGAGCCTGTCAAGCTACCCGTAGAGTATTCAACATGCCAAAAATAGTAACAATAACGGGTCTCATTCCCCTGACCCTGAAAGAGCCTCTAATACAACAGCGTTGGGAAGGATGAGTAAGGAGAGGCTACTAAAATCTCAGGGCTGGGATGAATGGAGACATTACTGGCACCTGCTCGAGCAAATTGATGAACAACGGGACTACAGTGATACAATGAATATATTTTGATGTTGTTGTGATTTTTTTTTTTAGTCAGTGAAGTAAGCAAAAAATCATGGAATCAGCAGCACTTTGCCCTACGATTTCCCAAACCCCCACGACCAGGACGAAAAAGGAGATCAAAACCTTCCCAACTAAGAGATCAATCAGTTATTGTGAGTTTTGAAAAGATTATACATTTTTTACTCAACCTTATTAAATTATATATATATAGTTAGTTAGTTAGTTAGCTTGTTACAGACCAGTTCTGGATGATGAAAAAATCTGTATTTTTTTTGCATTACAATGTTGCTATTGCACATTTTATTTTATTTATTTATTTTTAAATTTTTTATTAATGAAACACCATGAGATACAGCTGTAGATTTACAAATTTTTGTGCTTGGGTTTCAGTTATACAATGATCAAGTACCCATCCCTCCACCAGTGCCCATTCTCCACCACCAATGATCCCAGTATCCCTCCCACCCACCCCCAACCCCGCATCTGTGGCAGGGCATTCCCTGTTCTCTCTCTCCTTTTGCACATTTTAAATGAAGCTAATGTAACAGGAATGAATTTTGCATGTCAATTAAGTTTAATGCAACTCACTTAAGGTTTTCACTTTGGAGAGGTTGGAGAGTGGGCCACACTCAGTGCTGCTCTTGACTCTTATCAGTCATAGCAGTGTTTGTGACTCAAGGAATCAAACCTTGATTGACCATGCTTGGTTGGCCATGATCTTATATGTGATGTACTGAACAGCTTAACGGAGTCAAAGTTCAACTCCTTGGATAAAGGAGATTATTGGGAGAAGCGCATAGAACAAGGGCAGTCACAAGGTTGCTTGGCAGGAACACATAGTGCTCTCAAAGGAAAGGAAGCCAGGTTCAAGTGCCTGGTTTCTTCTATGACTTCTAGTAGATGAGTAGACCCTGAAGTTCTACCCAAAATCTACATTTCTCAATCTAACCCTTCTCCTTGAAACTAATTTTAAACAAGTCACCAGGAATATGTCTTCTCACACATATATTGTCCACTTGGCACTTTCTCGCTCTTTGTTCTTTCTCAATTAAAGTTAACTGGATTATTGAGACAGTGATACTCCCCCAGTCACCCAATTTGCAAAAGAGGAATCAGTGTGTATTTTGCCTGATTGATCAACAGCAGGAGATATATTTTACTAGTATTTTGTTTTATCAAAATTTTTCCTTAACTCTTGGTTCAGCAAAATTATGTTATAAAAATTATGTACACAGAAATTATAGAAACATGGAGATCCTCATTTTAGTTGATTAGTCAAGAAATAGTCCCTAATAGTAATATCACTAATAATAATAATATAAATGATTAGTTAAATCTTTCTTTAAAATGATTTCCTATCTGATGATATTCAGTTTAGATTTCAACAAGCAGAAAGACTTTAGCCTTTTACTTTTAACAAGAAATAGAATTTTTAAGTTCAAACATCTTAAATGTGACTGTAGCACTGTAGTACTGTCATCCCTTGTTCATTGATTCTCTCAAGCAGACACTAGTAACATCTCCATTCATCCCTGTCTGTCTTCTCCAGGAACACAAAGTAAGATTTGTTGCTAGTTACTGTTTTTGACGTATTGAATACTCCACGAGTAGCTTGCCAGGCTCTGCTATGCAGGCAGGATACTCTCAGTAGTTTGCAGGACTCTCTGAGAGGGATGGAGGAATTGAACCTGGATCAGTCGCCTGCGATGCAAATGCCCTACACAGACAGTACAGTGGCTCTGGCCTTTGCCTTGCATGTGGTTATCCTGGGTTTGATACCTTTCAACATATATCATGCCATGAGCACTGACAGTAGGGATCCTGGAGCATAAAGATAGGTGTAAGCTCTGATCACAGGCAAGTAAGACCCAAAATACAAAACTGGAAGATAAAACATAAAAGAATAATGGAGAGTGTTCTTGATACTTCAAAATCTTAATTTTCAAGACTTTAAAGTGACTTCTAATAAACTATTACTCAGTGGAGATCTAATGCTGCTTAAACAAAAACTTGAAGGCATTATAAAGATCTTCAAAACTGAATGTTTTCCCATAAGGATGGATTTGATTAAGGAAATTTAATTTGGTGGTCTAGGGAAATAGTTCAGCGGGTAGAAATACATGCCTAGCATGTGCCTCATCCTGGTTTGATAAACAGTAAAATAGGGCCTCTTGAGTGTTGCTGAGAGTGGTCTTGGAAGGCTCCCCGCAGCAAGAAACTCCAGGGTGACCCTAGCTGTCCCATTACTTCAGAGAGAGGTGGCATTGCATTCTTGGTTTCTAGCATTGAACTGCTAGCTAAGTTGGATAAATATCACCAGGAGCAGCCTCTAGGACCTCTAAATACTGCTTGGAAACACACATTACCCTCTTCCCCACCCACGCGCATGCACACACACACACACACACACACACAGAAATTTGAAAGGTAGAATGCATTATTAAATTATGAATTCTTCACCATCAGAGTTTAAAAATCTTTTCAGTATTGACATTAAAATTTATTTGCAATTAGGAGAAATAAATAGCAGTGACTCACAAATTTTCATCTTTATTCTCAATTATATTTCAGAAACAAGATGAAGACAAAAGAAAGGAGGAAGGCCGTAGACGACCACTATGGATGCACCGTTCTTTAATGACAATTTCTGAGAGGCCATCTGAATATTTAGCAGCCAGGAGGAAACCTCCAACTAAAGTCAGTTTACAAATGGAGGAGGTTAAAAAAGAACCTACACCCCCAGTTCCTAAGGAAGAGGGCATCAAGAAAGAAATAACAGAAGCAGAACCCAAAACAAAGCCAAAAAAAGATAAGGATGTTCCAGCAAAAGCAGAACCCCCGAAAGATACTGCAGTTAAAAGTCCCAAGAAAGAGAAGGGCAAGGATTCAGGTACAGAATCAGAATCCGAGAAAGGTTTAAAGAAAGATGCAAAATTGGAAAAGAAAGCTTCAAAAAAAAAGGCAGTAGTTAAAGATTCAGGTACAGAATCAGAATCCGAGAAAGGTTTAAAGAAAGATGCAAAATTGGAAAAGAAAGCTTCAAAAAAAAAGGCAGTAGGTAAAGATTCAGGTACTGAATCAGAATCCGAGAAAGGTTTAAAAAAAGATGCAAAATTGGAAAAGAAAGCTTCAAAAAAAAAGGCAGTAGTTAAAGATTCAGGTACAGAATCAGAATCCGAGAAAGGTTTAAAGAAAGATGCAAAATTGGAAAAGAAAGCTTCAAAAAAAAAGGCAGTAGTTAAAGATTCAGGTACAGAATCAGAATCCGAGAAAGGTTTAAAGAAAGATGCACAATTGGAAAAGAAAGCTTCAAAAAAAAAGGCAGTAGGTAAAGATTCAGGTACTGAATCAGAATCCGAGAAAGGTTTAAAAAAAGATGCAAAATTGGAAAAAAAAGCTTCAAAGAAACCGACAGGTTTCAAGGACTCAGGCACAGAATCAGAATCTGAGAAAGGAGGTGCAAAGAAAGAAAAGAAAGGGTCAAAGAAAGGCAAGGGTTCAGGTGGAGAATCAGAATCTGAGAAAGAAGGTGCAAAGAAAGAAAAGAAAGGGTCAAAGAAAGGCAAGGGTTCAGGTGGAGAATCAGAATCTGAGAAAGAAGGTGCAAAGAAAGATAAGCAACCATCAAAGAAAGGCAAGGGTTCAGGTACAGAATCAGAATCTGAGAAAGGAGGTGCAAAGAAAGAAAAGAAAGGGTCAAAGAAAGGCAAGGGTTCAGGTGGAGAGTCAGAATCTGAGAAAGAAGGTGCAAAGAAAGAAAAGAAAGGGTCAAAGAAAGGCAAGGGTTCAGGTGGAGAGTCAGAATCTGAGAAAGAAGGTGCAAAGAAAGAAAAGAAAGGGTCAAAGAAAGGCAAGGGTTCAGGTGGAGAGTCAGAATCTGAGAAAGAAGGTGCAAAGAAAGAAAAGAAAGGGTCAAAGAAAGGCAAGGGTTCAGGTACAGAATCAGAAAGTGAGAAGAAAGCAGAAAAGAAAGAACCAACAAAAGATGATAAAGGTTTTGAGAAGGACAAGAAAAAGTCAAAGAAGGACAAGAAAAGGGAAGAGAGCAAAAAAGAAAAGTCTATTGCAGATAGTCCATCCAAGGAAAGTACAAAGAAAGATGCCAAGAAAGATGCCAAGAAAGATGACAAGAAAGATGACAAGAAAGATGACAAGAAAGATGACAAGAAAGATGCCAAGAAAGATGCCAAGAAAGATGACAAGAAAGATGACAAGAAAGTTGTAAGTCCAGATGCAACTTCAAAGAAGGCTTCAAAGAAGAAAAAGTAGGCAGTGGATAGTAATCCAATAAACACATGGTGAAATAATTTTAGAACGATGACACTGGAACTACAAGTGAAGAGGGGCATTTAAAGAATTAATCAAATAACTTGAATGGGAAAAATACAAAAATCAAATATCTCAGTAAAGTTTCATAAAATATAAGAAATATATTAAGAAAAGTTGAGATAGTAACTGAAGACCTGGAGGAAATGATAAATTGGGGGCTATGAAGGAAGCAATTTAAAATCACTAGGAAGATCAAAAGATAGTCAAATAAGCCTATAGGCAGATTGACAGTGAATCTGGGAATTAAACATATGGCAACTAAGTCATCAGAAAATCGAGAACAAGGATATTAAATCCATAAGCAATCTGAAGATACATTCACATTAGTGTTAAGAGTTATGAGAGAGAAAAGAAAAAAAGAAGAGCAGACGTAAAACTATATTTCAGAAAGTCTACTTTCAAATCAGTATGAATACAAAGCAAAAATAAAATTCCGCAATACGAAGGAAAAAAAAACTTAACTCCTTATGAGAATATACCACTACCTCAAATCAAAAAGACTGAATGTTTAACTTGGTAAGTCCATTTTGTTTTGTTTTAAATCTTACTGGATTGCACAACAGTTAAGTCAAATTAAAGGTTTAAATTGGCAACATATTATAAAATCAATGAGATTAATATTTTTTATTATAAGTTAATCACTTAATCACTTAATCCCCGTTATTCATCGATTCACTCGAGCGGGTGCCAGTAACGTCTCCATTCATCCCGGTTGCGTGCTAGCGTAGCCCAATGGTATCTGTTCGTTCTAGGAACATGCAGAGCCTCAAACCGATCATTCAGGGTCTTGACGAAGAAGTCTGACCATCTTATAGGTGGGCGTCCACGTGATCTTTTGATGTCCCATGGAATCCAATCAGTAATGGCTCTAGTCCAGCGGTTGTCTGTAAACCTCATTACGTGTCCAGCCCATTTGATTTTTGATGTCTTGGCAAATGAGACAGCGTCCCTGATTCTTGAGTGCTGACGAAGATCAGAACTCCGGATTCTATCTCTCATTTGAGTGAATCGTGATATTCCAAGCATAGCTCTTTCGATTCCTCTTTGAGAGACCCAAGTAGCGTTCTCATCCTGTTTTCGTAGGGTCCAGGTCTCTGAGGCATATGTTAATGCAGGGAGAACAGTGGAGTCAAAGAGATGTGCTCGTAGCTGGAGGTTCTTTGTCCTTTTAGTTATTTCTTCAATGTTCTTGAAGGCATTCCAAGCCACTCTCTTCCTCCTGCGCAACTCAGGTGCCAGGTCATTCATCATGTTGATTTCTTGACCTAGGTATATATAACTGTTGCATTCGGAGATGGTGGTTCCGTTGAGAGCGAATGGAGCGTCAGGAACAAGGCTATTTCTCATAAACATTGTCTTCATAAGATTCAGCTGTAGTCCAACCTTTCCACATTCACAGTTTAAGTCGTTCAGCATTTGTGCTGCTTGGCTGATGTTTGGTGTTATTAGAACGATGTCATCAGCAAAGCGGAGGTGGTGTAGTTGCCGACCATCTATCTTCACTCCCATTCCTTCCCATTCCAGTCGTCGCATGATGTTCTCGAGGGTGGCACTGAAGAGTTTTGGTGAAATGGTATCACCCTGCCGAACCCCTCTCTTGATATGGATGATTACTTCTTTGTAGAATGGTGAGATCTTGGTAGTGAATCCTTATTGTAAGTTATATTTCAAAAACATAGAGAACAGCACCTGAATCAAGGTTACAAAACATAATCAAAATACTTAAGAGATTTAGAAATATTTTTTGAAGGAAAAGAGTCAACATATAAATTTAACAATTGCATAACAAGATTCTTTTCTTAAATTTTATTATTATTATTATTATTATTGCTTTTTGGGTCACATCCAGTGATGCACAGGGAATTACTCCTGGCAGTGCTTGGGGAACCATTTGGGATGCTGGGAATAGAAACCGGGTTGGCCACATGCAAGGCAAATGCCCTACCTGCTGTGCTATTGCTCCAGCCCCAACAACATTCTTTTTAACAGCAAATAGTTACTAACTTTACTCCAATACAGGAAGAATGAAATTACAAGTTGCCTGAATAAACAAAGCAAGTACATCTAAGATGATGCAGTTACAGAACATTAAGCTAAATTGTTAAATGGATATATGAAAAACCTATTAAAATGTTGACAGAATTTAAAGTAAAGTAAAGTAAAGGCCCTCCCGTTGATCATCGATTTGCTCGAGCGGGCCCAGTAACGTCTCCATTGGAGACTTTGTTGTTACTGTGTCTGGCATATCGAATACTCTCGGTAGCTTGCCGGGCTCTCCGAGAGGGGCAGAGGAATCGAACTTGGGTCGGCCATGTTGGCTGCGTGCAAGGCAGACGCCCTACCCGCTGTGCTATCGCTCCAGCCCCTGTGCTATCGCTCCAGCCCAGAATTTAATGGTAAAATATCTAAATATTATTTAGATGTAGAAAAATACATTAAAAATATTTTGTTTTGGGGGCTGGAATGATAGCACAGCAGGTAGGGCGTTTGCCTTGCAAGCGGCTAACACAGGTTTGATTCCCAGCATCCCATATGGTCCCCTCAGCAGTACCAGGAGGTAGTGCAGATTTCTGAGTGCAGATCCAGAAGTAACCTCTGTGTATTGCCAGGTGTGACCCAAAAATAATATATATATATACACAAAAGTATATATATATATGTGTATATATATACACACAAAAGTATATATACACAAAAGTGTATATATATACATATATATTTATATATATATTATTTTTTCTGAGATCACTCCTGCCGGTGATCAGGCCTTATTCCTGACTCTGCCTTACAGGATCACTTCTGACAACTCTCTGGGGACCATACAGAGTTTCAGGAATTAAACCTGGAGTATTGAAACTGGGTCTGCCATGTGCAAGAAAAGTGCCCTAACCACTGTGCTATATCTTTGGCCCTATGTTTTGAAGATCTTATTAAATTTCCTGTGACCAGTAGATTATGCAATGAAAATAAGACTTAAAAGGAATGTTTCTTAAAATAAAAATTCCTTAGACTTCCCAAGTGACAGATATTAAAATCTTATTTGACTTAAGGCATTCTCTCTAAAATAAATTTAACAATATTACAAAATTTTCAATATAAGCATTTAAACAAATGTAAAGCATTTCTATGTAAATGTCTGTTTCCTTTATTTCACCCAATATAAACTTTTTTTTTTCTATATTCAGGGGTCTGCTATTGGCTTTTGCTCAGGGAATGCTCTTGGAGGTGATAAGGGGATTATGTTGTACCAAGGATTGAACAAGACTCAAGTAGTATGCAAGGCAAGTGTCTTAAGTCTTGTAGTAGCTCTCTGGCCTCAGAAAAAGTATGTGTGTGTATGTATATATACACACATGTTATACATATGCATATACATATACTTTATATACATATATATACATACATATATATCAGTGTATCACTGACATCCTGTTGTTCATCGATTTACTCGAGCAGGTGCCAATAACGTCTCCATTCTACCCATCCCTGAGATTTTACTTACTTACTAATCATTCTTACTTACTCGCCTCTTTTTACTTACTTTTCTTTACCTACTTGTCTCTCCTTACTTGTCTTTCCCAACACTGCTGTATTGGAGACTCGTTCAGGGTTAGGGGGATGAAACCTGCTATTGTTACTATTTTTGGCATATTGAATATTCCACGGGTAGCTTGCCAGGCTCTGCCGTGCAATTAGAATGAATGTTGCACTTAATCCCCAGTGAATATGTGCCTTTATTTTTTGCCCCATGTGTGTTTCCCTCATACTTATATGGAAAGAACCCAAAGTCACATACTCTTAGTAGATTTCTATGAACTGTAATGTTTAGCTGCTCTTTAAGCACTGGACTCTTGCCCCCTTCTCATATTAACTACTCAGTGATTAAAGTTAGTGTAACTCATGGCCTGAAATGTCATTGGGAAATGGGGTGGTGGTATCAGTTCTACCTAGCTAATTTGACCTATATAATAATGACAAATAGTCAGATCCTGCCACATTTCTGTTTACCTTATAAGGAACTTCATTTGCCTTCTGTTTAGTGTAGATTTCTATGTTTAGAATTTCTTTGTTTAGATTTTCAAGCATAGAAATGATAGCATCTCTCAAGACATTGAAAATAATTTCAAATTCTCCTTTCCCTCAAAAAGGACCATTACAATAATTTTCTCACACGGGGTATGTAAAGAAAGTTTTACATTTAAATTCAATGCATGATTCTTGGTGACTAACAACTTAAATGAGACCAATTTTACTGAGAACTTCTTTTAGTCAAATTCAAAAAATAATGTATTGTTTTATCTTATTTTTGTCTCTTCTCCCTCTATATTGTTTTATACATTCCTATATTTCCATAGATTTATAAACAGATAGCATCCAAATATCAAACTAAAATATCTACTCAACCTTCTAGGTATCTTAAAATTGACATATCGCTATAGTAACTTTTAATATTCATCAACTGAATCCTCTTTCTGACACAAGGAAGTTTTTAAGAACTTAGGAATGGAACTGATTTATAACCCATCGCATAGTTTAAAAGTAGAAGTTCATTCATAATTATTATTTTTCCTAAACAACACATTCTGCCTATGTGTCCCAAAAATATTTAAATTCATTTATTAAACTTTATTTCTACCATTTACATATTAGAAATGCATTTAGTTATTACATTTCCTGGAATATCTTCCCCAAAGCCTACAATATTTGCATGGAACTTTTTCATCACACCCCCAAGTTTTCCTTTTAGAAATTGTCATGTCACTCCATTACTCTAAGCCATCTGATTTCTTAATAACGTATAGCTCTTTTGTTGTAGGTGTACTGTCTTAGAAAATTTATAGAGAATTCTTATTTTTAAAATTGATTTTGCTCGTTTTGTAAGGTGAGTTTTCACACCCATCTATGTTCAGGGATTATTCCTGGCTCTGTGCTCAGGAATC